TACTCATATAGTTTCTAAAAGATGCCTAGGCTTTTCTCTTCTTTTAAAAAAAATAAATAGACTTTCTTAGTGCGGTTTTAGGTTCATAGCAAAATTGAGTGGAAAGTATAGAGGGTTCTCATACATTTCTGCCCTCACACATATACAACCTCTCATGACAGTGATACTTTTACTACGATATGAACCTACATCATCACCCACAGTTCATAGTTCACATAGTTCACTCTTGGTGAACCCTGTTGATCACTTGATGGGTTTCAACAAATGTATAATGATACATATTCACCATTATAGTACCATATGTAATTGTTTCACTGCCTTAAAGATCTTCCTTTGCCTGTTCATCCCTCCTTTCCTCTAACCCCTGCCAGCCACTAATCTTTTTACTGTCTCCATGGCTTTACCTTTTCCAGAATGTCATATAGTTGGAATCATACAGTATGTAACCTTTTCACATTGGCTTCTTTCACTTAGTAATGTGCATTTAATGTTCCTTTGTGTTTTTTTCATGGCTTGATAACTTATTTCTGTTTAGTGCTGAATAATATTCCATTGTTTGGATGTACATAGTTTATCCATTCACCTACTGAAGGACATCTTGATTGCTTCCAAGTTTTGACAGTTATGAATAGAGTGGCTATAAAAATCTGTATGCAGGCTTTTGTACGGACATAAGTGTTTACATCCTTTGGGTAAATAACTGTGGAGTGCATTTGTGTGATCATATGGTAAAAGTATGTTTAGTTTTGAAACTGTCCAACTGTCTTCCAAAGTGGCCGTACCATTTTGCATTCCCACCAGCAGTGAATGAGGACTGTTGCTCTGCATCTTCAGCAGCGTTTAGTGTTTTCATGTTTTAGATTTTGGACATTCCAATAGGTGTATGGTAGTATCTCCTCATTTTAATTTGCAGTTTCCTGTTGACATACGATGTTGAACATCTTTTCATTTGCTTACTGCCATTTGTATATCTTCTCTGGTGAGGTTTCTGTTCATGTCCTTTGCCCATTTTAAAAATTGGATTGTTTATTCTCTTTATTTCTTTGAGTTTTTTATATATTTTGACTAACAGTTCTTTATCAGATGTGTCTTTTGCAAATGTTTTCTCCCAGTCTGTGGCTTTTCTTTTCATTCTCTTGACAGTGTCTTTCACAGAGCAGAAGTTTTTACTTTTAATGAAGTCCAGCTTATCAGCTATTTCTTCCATGGATTATGCTTTTGGTGTATATCTTAAAATTCATTACCATACCCAAGATCACCTAGATTTTCTCTTACGTTATTCCAGTCCTGTTCATTGAGAAGTCTGTCTTTGCTCCGCTGTATTGTCATTAGTCCTTTGTCAAATATCAGCAGACTATATTGGTCTGTTTCTGGACTCTGTGTTTCATTGATTTATTTGTCAGTTCTTTTACCAATACCACACTGTCTTGATTGCTGCTGTCGTTTATGATAATCCTCGAAGTTGGAAAGTACCAGTCTTCTAGCTTATTCTTCTCCTTTAATATTTTGTTGGCTGTTCTAGATCTTTTACCTCTTCATATAAACTTTTAAAATTTGTTGATATCCATAAAATAACTTGTTGAGATTTTGATTGGGATTGCATTGAATCTTTAGATCGAATAGAGAAGAGTTGACATCTCGACAGTGTTGAGTCTTCCTATCCATGAACATGGAATATCTATCCAATTATATAGTTCTTTGATACCTTTCACCAGAGTTTTATAGTTTTTCTCATATAGATCTTATACATATTTTGTTAAATTTAGACCTAAATATTTAATTTTTGGAGATCCTAATATAAATAGTAATGTATTCTTCTGAAATCAGGTGAGATTGGGCACATTCAGGATGGTATGGCTGAAGACAAAAGTAATGTATTCTTAATTTAAATACCACTGTTGGTGTACCTGAATGCACATGACTTTTATGTATTAACCATGCATTCTCCAACCTTGTTACAATTGTGTGTTCATTTCAGGAGTTTTTTTTTTCTTTTTTTGTTTGGTTTTTTGTTTACATAGATGATCATGTCATCTGTGAGCAAAGACAGTTGCATTTCTTTTTTCCTCACTATGTATACCTTTTTTTTCTTTTTTGGTGTCTTATTGTATTAACTACCTCCTTGAAAAATAGTGTTGAGAGGGGACATCCTTGAATTGTTCTTGATCTTAACATTGAAAACTTCAAGTATTTTAAGTATAATGTTATGTTTACTTTTTTTGTAGATTTTTTTTTTAATAAAATTAAGGAGCTTCCTTCTATTCACCTTTCCTTTTGCACTCTTTTTTTAAAAAAGAGCCTCCCCTTGATGACTCCTTTTTTGCATCTCTGATACTTTTTTTTAAGTTGCTTATCTATAAGCAACTCTGATGCATTAGGACTCATTCCTATTTTTTTCATACTTAATGTGGCTTTATGTCCATCTTCGGTCTGTTGCTTGTTTTTCTCTTTTTGTCTTTTGTGCATTTTATCCTGGTCTACTCTTGCTCTCTAGGAAGGCTTATGGCAGGAGAATATAGGTGTTCCAGAATTTATTTACTTTTCTACTTATGTTTTGTTCCTTCTGGTTATGCTGAGGGCTTGAGTTTTATGCAGCTTTATTCGTCCTTTTTATTCTTTGTATCCTGTGACTTTGCTACCATCACATATTAGTTTGACTTGTTTTGTAGGTTTCCTAGGATTTTCTGTGTAGACAGTCATGCCATCTGGTTCCTTCCTGACATTTATTTTGCCTTTTTCTTGCCTTATTGTACTGGCTATGATTAGTGAAATTTGTATAGAATGGACATTCTACTTTTGTTCTTGAGGACGGGGGAAAGTTTTCCATTTGACCATTAAGTGTGTTAGCTATAGGGGTGTGTGTGTGTGCACGCGCGCGCTCGCACACATACACATATACATCTATATATTCTTTATAACATTGAGTAAGTTACCTGAGAGTTTTTATTTTTTAAAAATGTTTGTTTATTGGGGTGCCTGGGTGGCTCAGTCGGTTAAGCGTCTGACTTTGGCTCAGGTCACGATCTTGCGGTTCATGAGTTTGAGCCCCGTGTCAGGCTCTGTGCTGACAGCCCTAGAGCTGCTTCGGATTCTGTGTCTCCCTCTCTCTCTGCCCCTCCCCTGTTCATGCTCTGTCTCTGTCTCTGAAAAATAAATAATTTTTAAAAAGCGTTAAAAAAATGTTTATTTTTGAGAGAGTGCAAGTAGGGGAGGGGCAGAGAGAGGGGGACAGAGGATCCAAAGCGCTCTTTGCATTGATAGCAAGGAGCCTGATGTGGGGCTCGAACTCATGAAACACGAGATCATAACCTGAGCTGAAGTCAGATGTTCAACTGACTGAGCCACCCCGGTGCCCCACACCTAAGGGTTTTTAATCATGAGAGGGTTTTGAATTTTGTTATATGCCCTAAATACATGTATTGAAATCATTGTATAACTTACTGCCTTACTATGTATTACATTGATTTTTTGACTCTTCAGCCAGTCTTTAATTCTGGGAAAGCCCCAACTGATGATGATGATGTATTATCCTTTTTATGTAATTTTGCATTTGATTTGCCAATATTTTGTTGAGGGTTTTTACACCTTCCTGCCTGAAGGTAATTGGTCAGTTTTCTATTTTGATAATGTCTTTTCTCAGGTTTTAGCATTAGGATTATTCTAATACAATGACTCATTCTCTCTGTTTTTAAAAAGAATGTGAAAGATTGCTGTTACTTCTTGTCTAAATGTTTGATAGTATTTACCAAGCAAGTCATTTAGGCCTTGAATTTGCTTTGTGGGAAAGTTTTTGTTTTTGTGTAGCACTTAAAGTTTTTAAAAAGTTAACTTTTTTGAGGTATACTTTATACATAATAAAATTTTCCAATTTTAAGTGTGTAGTTTATGTAGGTTTGACAAATGAATACATATAACATTTACAGCAATCATATTTATCCGTTTTGTTTTGTTTTTTTTCTTGTGATGTGTTTGAGAGACTTCAGTATCAAGGTAATGTTGGCCTCAGAATGTGAATTGGGAATGTTCTTGCCTCATTTACTTTCTAGAAGTTTATGTAGAATTAATATTACTTCTTTTGTAAATACTAAATAAAATTCACCAGTGAAGACAATTTCTTTAACAGATATGGGGCTGCTGAGGTTATCTGTTTCTCTTGTTGGTATCCATGTGTCTTTTAAGGAATTTGTCTCTTCCATCTGAGTTGTAGAATATATTAGTGTAAAATTATAATATTTCCTTATTTTCCTTTAATGTCTATAGGATCTGTATTCATGGTCCCACCTTATCAGCTTGGCTAGAGGTTTATCACTTCTATTAATTGTTTCAAAGATACAGCTTTTGGTTTCATTGATTTTTCATTATTGTTTTTCTGTTTCATATTATATTAATTTTGTATCTCATCTTTACTATTTCCTTCCTGCTGCTTATTTTGGGTTTCATTTGCTAATTTTCTAGTTTTTTAAAGGGGAAGCCTAGATTGTTGCTTTGAAGACCATGTCCTTTTCTAATGCATTTAATGTTATAAGTTTCTCTCTAACCACCATTTTAGTTATATCCCACAGTATTTAATATGTTGAATTTTTACTTTCATTCAGTTCACAATGTTTTCTAATATTCTTTGTTATATCTTTTAGTGATATATTAATTTCCGAACCTTTTGGGATTTTCTGTTACATTAATTTTGGATTAATTCTTTGTCATTCTGGAGCATACTTTGTATAAATTCAGCCCTTTAAAATTTATTGAAACCTGTTTTATGGCCCAGAATAACATTTATCTTGGTGAATGTTGTGTACTTGGAAAGAATGTGTTCTCTTGTTGGGTAGAGTGTTCTATAAATGTCAACTAGGTTAAGTTGGCTGATAGTGTTTTTCATGTCCTCCATATCTTTACTCTTTTCTGTCTGCTTGTTCTATGTATAACTAAGAGAGGAGTGTTGAAGTGTCCAAATATAAATTTGGATTTGTCTATTTCTCCTTGGAGTTGTGTCATTGTTTTTACCTCCAGATGTATCTCAAATCTTTGTTAGAAAAGGGCATATACATTTTGGATTGTTATATTCTTTTGATAAGTTGATCCTTTCATCAATATGAAATACCTCACTTGGGGGCGCCTGGGTGGCGCAGTCGGTTAAAGCGTCCGACTTCAGCCAGGTCACGATCTCGCGGTCCGTGAGTTCGAGCCCCGCGTCAGGCTCTGGGCTGATGGCTCGGAGCCTGGAGCCTGTTTCCGATTCTGTGTCTCCCTCTCTCTCTGCCCCTCCCCCGTTCATGCTCTGTCTCTCTCTGTCCCAAAAATAAATAAAAACGTTGGGAAAAAAATTAAAAAAAAAAAAAGAAATACCTCACTTGATCCCTGATAACATTCCTTGTTCTGAAATCTGTTTTGCCTATTATTAATATTAATTTACTTTGACTTTGGGATTTCCTTTGATAAGTAATTCATGGTGTATACCTTTTTCTGTCCTTTTAACCAGTGTGTCTTTACGTTTAAAGTGGGTTTCTTTTAGAGGGCATATAGTTATCCAGTTTCACAATCTCTGCTTTTTAATTGGAGTGTTTTAACTACTTATATTTAATTAATTATTGGTATGTTTGGTTTTATTTAAAAAGGTTTTTTTAATGCTTATTTATTTTGAGAGAGAGAGAGAGTGCATGTGCGCAGGGAGAGGGGTGGGGAGGGGCAGAGAGAGAGCGGGAGAGAGAGGGAGAGAATCCCAAACAGGCTCCGTGCTGTCAGCACAGAGCCTGACGTGAGGCTCCATCTCACAAACCATAAGATCATGACTTAAATTTTGGACGCTTAACTGAGCCATCCAGGTGCTCGTCAGGTTTCTTTTAAAATGGTTAACATTAGAAGCAAAAAAGTAAAAATGTTTTTCTGGTTTATATTTTTGAGCAATGTTATCCTGTAGGTGCTTTGCACGTGTTATTTCTCTTCCTGCAATGTAGGCAGTGTTCTCCCTGCCCTATAAAAGAGGAAACTGAATCCGGGAGAGAAGTCAAGTAACTAACAGGAAGTCAAGACAGTTTGTCATTGTCAGAGCCCAGAGTTTGCAGTGGGGGCATTGTGTCTCTAAAGGCCTGCTCTTTACTCTTCAGCTGACTGACTCCCTCTGTGGTGCCATGACTCAGTGTCCTTTGGCCATTCTTCTACTACTTTGAAAGCACCTTCTTTTCCTGGCTTCCTTCCTCTAGTGAATATGAAACATTTTACAGGTTTTACTTTAGTAGTTCTCTTCCAAGTGTTAAGCACCAGGAAGCATTAAGGGCACATTCTGCTACTCCCCGTTTGCTTTCTTGGATTCTAGCAGACTTTTATCTATCCATCCTTTTGTTGGACCTTTTTAAGCAGTCAAATAACTAATGAGGTGTTCTTCTTTTATGTAGGTGAATGAATACTTTAGGGGTAAGAAAGATGACTGCCTTTCTGAAACTAGATTTTCTTACTGCTTTTTGTGAGGGCCAGAAATTGTGTTGCATGTCCCTCCCCCCCCCCCCCCCCATTTTGAATCCTTGCTCTTTGTAGACAATTTGGAAACTATGGGAAAGGAATAAGTAGAAACAAAATTACCACTTTTGTCATTACAATTCATAGGAAGATTTTAATAATTATAGCCAAGACTCATATCAACAGATACTTATTATACTTCTGTACTTAAGTAGTATGCCAGGAGTTGAAGGAATACAGAATGAATAACTCAGCCAAGCTTTTTCTGCCCTTTGGAGGTTAAATTTGACTAAGGGAGCCCTTATAAGTGCCAGGATTCTCTTTTAAATTTTGTCACTCCCTCTGTCGGGGAGGCCTGTTTCAACCTCAGTTTTCTGGATGAGGAAGTGGGCACAGAGAGGTCAGGTGACATGGAGGAGGATCCTGACTCAACTTTCAGTAACTAGTTTCTGTTTCCTTAGACTAGAGCATATGTATCTGGGGTCTTGGCATGGATTTTTACTTTTGAAAGTTTAATGTTAAAAATCACCATTGCTTACTGTTAAAAAGAGATGTCTTTAAGCAAATAGAAAGCAAAATATACAGAGATAACATTGTTAGCGTTTTAACACACCTTTTCTAGATACTGCTCTAAATAAATCAATAATTAAGTTTTATCCATGAAGATGGAGTCCTACAGATGTATTCTGACCCCCCCCTTTTATTTTTCATTTAAAATTTACCTTAGACCTTTTCTCATGTCACTATTCTTCCAAGAAGTAGTTTTCCTGTAACTTTAGACAGGTGAGTACTATCTTCACAGTTTTGGACATATCTGTATACTGTGTCCTTTTATCTACTTCACATATTTAAAAAATCTGCTCTCTTTTAAAAAATCAGAAAAGGAGACCGTATTGTTGTATGACTGGAAAATCATGGCACTTGCTGAGACCCACATAAAATTCTAGCCACGTACCGTTTGTTACAGTAAACTGAATAGGAAGCTAGGTCTTTTTGTTAAAAACAGATAATTGAAAGTATTTAACAGTGTAAAAAATATCTTTTGGTATAGTTAGAAGAATCGAAAGACAACTGAAAAGGTGGTAGGTAACTTTTGCAGTATGGGATTCATTGTACTCCAATACCTTAATTAGGGGTTTTCAGTGTTTTTAAGTATTTTCATAGTGAGAAATAAAACTTATATTTAGACCCCGCCCAGATTTACATTTAGACTTAGTACATGTAATCATATGTGTAATCATATGTGCACACACATATTTATGTATATGTTTTATATATGTTTGTGTGTGTAACATAACATACATTCCTAAAGTCACCCCAATGTATACTGTATTCCACTGTGAAACATAAGACAGCATAGATTGTAAGATACGCCATTTTCTGTAGCATTCAGAAAAAAATGCTACCAGTTTTAAGATGCCATTGATGGTTAAGAAATATCTCAATTTCAGGGGCGCCTGGGTGGCGCAGTCGGTTAAGCGTCCGACTTCAGCCAGGTCATGATCTCGCGGTCCGTGAGTTCGAGCCCCGCGTCAGGCTCTGGGCTGATAGCTCAGAGCCTGGAGCCTGTTTCCGATTCTGTGTCTCCCTCTCTCTCTGCCCCTCCCCCGTTCATGCTCTGTCTCTCTCTGTCCCAAAAATAAATAAACGTTGAAAAAAAAATTAAAAAAAAAAAAGAAATATCTCAATTTCAGAGATACTAAAATGTGAAAAAATATGTGTTAGAATTGATGAAATAAGAGATGTGCTGTGTGTTCTTTTCTTCTTTCTTTCTTTCTTTCTTTCTTTCTTTCTTTCTTTCTTTCTTTC